AAAATAGATGCATTTCATTGATAAGGAAGAAATCCTTCCGATGAGCCTCTGTAACCCAGCCTTTCAGTTCCTGTTTCATAGTGGAAGAAGCAGAAATCTGGGCCGAGTCTTGAATAATTCTGGGTGTGTTTGAGGCCAGAAGTAAGATGCGGAGGACCTTCTGCCTTCTGGTTCTCTGCCTCCTGGCTTTGCTATTCTGCTTTTTGACTCTATGACAGGACTGTGCCAAAGTCTTCCCAACTCGTGGACATTTAGAGGTCAAATATTATTGTCCAAGCAGGACTCCTCGTGGTTAACTGGGCACAAATTCATAACCAGAGCCTAGCAGCCATTGCAGACAGAGGCATCTCACACACTTTGCATTTTAGGGGAAAGCCACAGCCTGGTTCCAGCTCCCTGCACTCTGCTCCTGCCATCTGAGTCAATCCTTAAAAAGGAGTTCCTGGTATTGTACTTCAACCAATTGACTGAGACCTGAGCTGTCCAATCAGAACTGCTCAACTTTATCTTCATTTGCATCTTTCCTGACTAATCAGGCAACTCCATAATCAACAATCGGAACACCGTAATTCCGACCAATCAGGACAGAACTATTAGAATCAATCAGACCGTGCAAATTTGGATTTGCATAAATGTAGACCAATCAGAGAGTAAGGAGGGAATTTATAATAATTTGCCTCACTTTTGTCTCAGTGGAGTACACTTTTGGTTTCCACCAGAGGCTGTGTCTCTGCATTTCCAAATTGTTTACCTGAATGAAGTTTCTCCTTTTACCACACCCCATATTGAGGACTCCTGTTGGTATTAAGAGGTGGCAGTGACCTTTTGCTGACAAACCACAATAAGCACATTCCTAATGTCGGCCCATCTTAGGCTCTGATGAGTGGCAGGAAGGTGAACATTTTCACCCAATAGGAGAGAGCCGCACCCTGTGAAGGGCTCTTAAAAGGCAGGCCCATCAGGCCCACCCACACTTCTGACTGTCACAGGGAAGGTCTCTCCCTTGAACTTTGAGATGGACTCCGGCATGAGAAACTAAGACCCTCACGGCCCCTCCATTGGAAGCCCCACTGACCAGCACCCCCTCATAAAGAACTCCTTTGAAGAAAAGGGCTCAGATGAGGAGAAAGCATTCGAAGAAGAGAGCAAGACTTTCTCTTCCCAGTTAAGAGAGAACAGCACCCAAAGGCAAGGTAAGAACTTGGGCTGTTTCTGTGGAGGCCTGAGGGAGGGGTGGGGGGATCCGGGACCCCGAGTGTTCGCAGTTGGGTTATATTTGGAGATAGGTGCTAGGAAACATCACCTAGCCCTCCAGGGGCTTCTCCAAGTGTGCCAGTGATGCCCTGGAACCAGGTGCTCCGGGCACACTTGACGCTGGCTGAACAGCTTCAGCTTCAGTTGAGGGAAATGACCGCAAATGTGGGTCAGGGATGGACTAGGGGTTTCTGTGTACATGGAAGGAGGCCAGTCACCTAAAAAACTTCTTTTTCTCCAGGGTCAGAGCCCAAGACAGACAAAGAGGAGAATTCCAAGGAAACCGAATTCAAAGGCAGAAAGAGCTGCGTTGCTCCATTGGGTCAGGTTTTATTTGCGGGGGCAGGGGGCCAGGACATGGGCAGCTCAGTCTCCCCCTGCAGGGAACTGGGTGCTGCTCTTGGCTGCCCGGGCCTCGAGGATCCTGGACTCTAAGAAGAGCTGGGAAATTGGTTTTGGTTGCAGCCTTGGCTCCACGTGTGTCCAGGATGGACTAGTCTTTCCAGAGTGCCCAGGTTGCAGAGTCAATGAAACTCTCACTTTATTCACAGAAGCAGAACGCTGCTCCAATCGGGAGAGCTCCAGGAGGAGGAAAAGCAGACCCAGGGACAGTCCCCGCGCTACAGCAGGTAAGATGTTGCTCTTTGGGCCCGAAGTGTGCCCATAGAAAAGCTGAGACTATTTGGAGCGCGTGCACGAAGCGGGGTGTGCGCTGGCAGCAGCGGTTTGAGACTCTGGGACCCAGAGACAATTTGGGGCCCCAGGATGGGTGAGGCGCCACCTCCTGTAGAGATGTGGGGTCGGAAAAGGAACAAGACATTTGTGGGGTTCCTGCGAGGTTGCAGGGTGAGAATTGGGAATGGGGTCCCCTGGGAATTAATCGGGCGGGTCTCTCACCCATGTGCTACCTCCGCAGGGCCTCTTTGGGAGAAGAGCGCAGTGTGACTTTGGAAAAGAAGACTCGAAAAGTCCCTGATGCTGGCCACAGCAGCGACTGCGAGACGACTCCGGATGTCTGCCCCAGGAGAGCCCAGAGGAGGCGCACCGGGTGCAGCAAGCGCCGAGATCCAGGTCCCCAGGAGTCCAGCCGCCTCCACTCCGGAAGTGCCTGGTGACCTCCCTGCGTGCAATGTCTGAGGCCATTTATCAGAACACGGTCCGAGTGCAGAACCAGCGGGTTCCTTCCCAGCTGAGCTGGGAGCAGCTCTCCATGCTCGCCAGATCCGGGGGTGTCTGTGCGCCCAGGTGCAGACCGTCTACACCATGGCCACCCAGGCGGCCTATGTCATCCCTGCTGGCTCGTCCCAACTCCAATGCCGGGTCCCCGGGGTCCAGCTGGAGACAGGGAAGAAGCCCAGAGCTCCTCCTAGGAGGTAGACATGGGAGGGTTCCCCTCTTCCTGCGACGGGAGATGGATGAGGCCGCCAGTGCCTGGAATTAGGGCTCAGCTAAGGGCACTGGTGCCCATGCAGCAGATGAATATCTTTGAATACCCAACATTATTTGAGAATGACAACAAATATCTGGGTGAAATTCTTACATATTTGGATATTTAAAAGTAAAGTCAACAAATGTGTCTGTCCTCCCCCTTGCATTTTGAAAAGGCATTCCTCCCTCTCACCTCAAGTGCATGGAGAGCTGATGTCCACAAGCCTTTAATAGGATTTAATTCTGTGTGGAGAATGTATCTACTTGCAGGTTGAGGAAGGCATGGTGAGATAATCATGGCACTTGTTTCCCCTTTAGTTAACTTCATATTAAATAGTTACTGATCGTATGTATTTATCCTTTAGCGGCCTCATATGATGTGCTTAATTGTAGATTTTCTTCTATTTCATAGACTTCAATGTGTCTTATTTTATTAGAGGACATTAAATCTAACATAGTATGTTGTCATTTGTTCCATATTGTATCTTATTTTATAGAGATTTTATTTGCATTTTATGTAAGAAAAATAAGTGTTGGGATATTGTTTTCTTCTTGAACTTTTTTCCATATTACATAGTGATGAAATAAATATTAATGTCTTCATGTACTGCATATTGTAAATAATTATATATTTACCCATATGAAATTTGTTTTAGTGCACGTGTGAGTTGGGAGGCTGTTTTCTTTTCACTCCTACTTCATCTGCATCTTGTCTCTCCTTCACCTAACAGCTCTTGTCCTAAGTAGGGAGGGCAGGTTTCATTCTAGTGGATGGAACCAATTCGATGACATTACAAATCACTTTGAACGTTGACATGGCTTCAATATACAGAACAAGTGCCGACAGAAGTACAAAAGTTGCAATAAGCAAGTTATATCGCGAGGGTAAGGATGTAATTATACACAAAAACAAACCAACCTAGTAATGAATCTAACAAAAACGAAGTTTAAATATGAGAAAAAGCATAAAAAATTCCCTTTTGTTCTCTTGAGCCCTGACCCTACTGAGTCCAGGGTCTCTGCATTCTACCGAGAAAAAGCATAAAAAATTCCCTTTCGTTCTCTTGAGCCCTGACCCTACTGAGTCCAGGGTCTCTGCATTCTGCCGAAGAAATACATGATTACCTAAAATTTTTGGTTTTTTGAACAACGTGGAGGCATTTATTCATCCATTCTTTAGAGTTTCAGCACTAGAATGAGCAGTCATAAACAGAAGCTGTGAAAAACAGATCAGCCAGTATCATCTTTAGAATTTACACAGGATACAGAAAAGGAGCTAGTAACCTGCATATTTAAAATAATAAATCATTAAAGGTATAAGTGATGCTATTAAAATGTGAAAAACTAGTTTTACTATGCACTTTTATTGTTCGCATGAAGATCAGACATCTTTATCACTACTCTGAAAATATTTCATAATATTTCACTTTAACAGCAAAGGAAATCTCTAAAAAGTACACTTTTTACAAGCCTCTTTATCTGCATTTGACACAAAGCAGTAACAGAAAACAAAAAGGTTAAAATATATAATTTAAATTTCAAGTTAAAAATAATTTTCCAAATAACTGAGAATAGTGTTTAAAACTAATATTGAAATTATACTAATGACATCAGCAAATTACAGAACGCCATCCAGTATGTCTCAAATATATTTGGATTTATAATTTATCTCAGAAAGGGTGGTATAGAATGACAAATAAAAATTAATTTATATGTACACAAGCAGAAATTTCTCTTCTTTTAAGGCAGTCTCTGCCCTCTACCCTCACGGCCCAGGGCCGGCCCCAGAACGTTCTGGAATCCAGGACACTGTGGCATCTCTGCGTTCAAAGTGAATGGGGAACAGAAGTCAAAAATTATGTTCTGGTGTGTAGTTAGTATAAAGTTGCAGACTCCGCACAAGCAGTTTACATTTCGCATTCCGATTTCCATAGACAACTTCGACTCTTGCTTGATTAAATGAGAAGCTGTAACTGGGGCCTCAGATGCTCTGAGATCAACCACCGCCCCCCACGACCACCGCCGACAAGGACCCGGTCCCCTATCCCCAGGTCCCAGCACTCTTCCCTTTTTGTTCCCAGGACACGCGCCCCTATCCGATCGCCCAAAAAGTTTTCACCTAAACCATTTTCACCTCGTTAGGAGGAAATATTTGCGTTTGCAATATAAGCGCCCTAGCCCCTAAAGTGGAGACCAGTTCGGTGGGCAGGAGGACAGACGGAAAAGCGGCCCAGGAGGCGGGCCGAGGCTCAGAGCCCGGGCGTCCAGGCCCCACTCCTACTACGGACACGCCCCCTGACCCCGCAGGCCCCGCCTTTCCGCGCACGCGCAGTTTCCTGCAGTCCCGGAAGCGGATAACGCGGACAACCGGCCACAGTCACGTGTGGGAGTCCTTGTTGTTTCTGATTTAGACCTACACGTCGCTATCCTCACGGCCCCATCCTCCACCTCAGGGTTTTGGGGTCTGCCCCGTAATTTAAAGTTCCCGAACCCGCTTGTCCCTCCGGCAGTGAGTTCCTCTTCCCCAGTTTCACCAT